AAACAACATGGCAAACATGCACTTTCATGTACTACAAAAACTCTCTGACAGCCTGTGAGCAATATACTACATTTAAACCTTTTTAGAGTCTTAGAACATACAAATCTTTATTCTATATTAATGAATTACTTTTTCTACGTCGTGCGAGGCTTCGAAACCCATCAATACGCATAGGAGAACGGGGTTGATGTTTTCTGGGGGGGGGGAGGGCAGTTGAAAGTTTGCCTGAATTTTTATGGAGAATTGTAAAGAAATAACCTGATTTATAACCGAATTTTCTTGATTTTTCCTAGCGTTTGCCCGAATTTTCATGGTTTTCGAAAGAAACTTTAAAGAAAGCGTGCTAATTCTCGTATTTTACTTGTATGTACTCGTATTTTACTCGTATGTACTCGTATGTACTCGTATTTACTCGTATTTACTCGTATGTTACTCGTGTGTACTCGTATGTTACTCGTATGTACTTCTATGTTACTCGTGTGTTACTCGTATGTACTCGTATGTTACTCGTATGTACTCGTATGTTACTCGTATGTACTCGTATGTACTTGTGTGTTACTCGTATGTTACTCGTATGTACTCGTGTGGTGTTTTAGTCACGATCCAATTGTACACCTGTTAATACGTTTTCAACAGGGAAATATAAAATGCTTAGGGTTCATTATTTATCGGTTGGGGGGGGGGGGCTGATAAAATAATGGGGGGATTTATTTTATGGGTGTAAAAGAGTGGTTTAAATCTTTTGAAGAAGTGGTCTGGGGAGACAATAAAATTTTATAGCATTGATATAAAGAAGATGGTATAGAGACAGTGGCGTAGCCAGCGTAAAAGGTGAGCCATTTTAGGGGAGGTCTGGGGGCATGCTCCCCCAGAATATTTTGAAATCTAGGGTCCCTGAAATGCGATTTCCTGCATTTTTGGGGTGTCAATTTGCATAAGTCCCAAGACTGTATAATGCATGAAAGACATGATTTTTCGTGATGGAAAATTATGGGTTAAAATAATTCAAATTTCTTTTAAAACCGAATGATGATTGAAAGTAAATATACTTTGCATTTAAAAACCTAAAGTAAACCCTTTCTTCTTGGGGCCATATCTACTTACTTAGACAAGGTTATACACAATTATATTGTGGATTTGGATTTTTATTTCACGCACCCCCCCCCCCCCCCCCCC